ACAAGTACCTTTCTATTTGCTATAGAAGTGCGATGTGACGATTTTTTAAGAAATTATAGCGACGCTTTGGAAAGTATTCTCTGAAAAATTAAAACGCATTCCATACGTGGATTGGAGTAATCTGATACCGGTGGTTTGGACAAATAAGCGGCTTCTTGAGGATAAAAGAGCGTATTCTAAATTTCAGAACGATATCTCGAAAACTGAATCGTAATGAAATTCGTTTATATACCTTTAGCAGCTAGTTTGCTACAAAACGTTTGTGCAGGTGTCAATCCTATTACAACTAAAGCCGTGTGTGGTCATATACTACTAGAGCTTCAAAGCAGTTTTTGTAATTCAAAAGCAAAAACTAACGCTTTTAATCCTCAGATATTTATAGTAACTAACACTTTGTGTGAGACCACAAATGTCACTATTTAAGCAGAAATTTTCTCTTTCAAATTCGCCACAAAAAGTTGTACGATGAAATTTCATTTCACTTCCAAGGACAAATGCCCAAAATATCATCAAAAACTAATTAATAACGAAAAACAAAAAACACAATTCCCATTTAGTGAATAGGAGAACATCGTGTTTAACTCTTCAGCGCTACATTAATAAATTACACTATTGATGCTAGTATATATGTAAGAAAAATTGTGTTTAGAAAATAATTATGTGCCGCAAGTTCAGCGCTAGCAACTACTAAAGACCCTTAAAAGGTTGTAAGCATAGAAACGCAAACACACCAAACACTTGGATCATATTGCTCGCTTGAAGACAACCATTAAATTTTAATTAATCATAAAGCTGCTGCACACATTCTTACGGCAACCGCCACAGTTTTTAAGACGTGCACAAAGGAAATAGATTCCGAGCGCGGAAGTTCGCCACAAAACAGAAGATAGTAAAATTTTGCTTGATTGGCGGTAAGACCTTTTTCAGCTGTATGCTCTATATTATATGTACGGATTTTTTCAAAACATATAACACATTTTTTTCATTAACTGAAAATTATTTAAATAAATGCTTGTCATTCAGCGTGCGACAAGAGATGAGCACAGGTGATGCCGAAAATCATTTGTTATCTGCGGGACGCCGCACACATATTCTTCTAAAAATAGACAAGCTTCTGTGAGATATTATGGGCATGTGTTGTGTTTACAGCTATTCTCACTCCCACAGTACCACCTGAAGTTTAACAGAGTTTTCTGCATGCTTGATAACGATTAAGCTGTCAAGACGATGAATGCGCGAGAATACTTGTGTGTCTGTATATATATATATACATATACATTATATACAAGAGCAGAATTAATAGCGTGTATCAAATGAAATATTTTTCTAACAAAAAGTGCAACCAGTTTTTTCTTTTTTTTTTTTTGTTGTTAACATTTGTCAAACTTACGGTGAACATTTTCCAGCATATACATAGCCATAAGCGTCGCACAACTATAGTTGGTGTCTTCCTAACTGCCATAAACTCAAGTTCTTTCCCGGCCAAGAATTGTCAATTCTTGGAATTCTTGGAACTTACTTCGGAACTCTTTTCAGTTATATTAACAAAAATAATATATCCTTTTTGGATACCTCGAACCTGAAGTAATTTAAAAACACAAAGCGGTTAGTCCTGTAGGGTTTGGTTTGAAAGAAAAACAGCTTAAAACTATTTTCGTTTTAGCACCTTTTCTTGCAAAACCTAATAGAATATGAATAGGTATACCTGAATTAAGGATGTCCTTTGATGGCTGTTTTTTCTTTAAATAAATACGTCTACGCATTCAAATAGTTTATCTTTTGCCACATGGCACTCTAATACGCAGCTAAATATGTTGTAAAAATAAATTTCGGACGCCGCTGAAGGTATAACAACAACGATTAATCATTTGAACAATTACAAGCGGGAACCAAAAGCAGTAGAACTCCTGAACAAAAGTAACGCCAGAGCTGCGTCGCCACCAACGCAATGTCTCATGTGCGTGTTGATCTCAAAATACGCGTGTATTCTTAACCGCTGCTGTTGTCCAGCGGTTGTGTTTGTATTCGTACATATATAACTCAACAATTCACATTTAATTAAAAATGGCTGCTGCATTCCAACCAACCCTGAACCAAAATACCACGCATACATGGTTAGGTTCCGTTTATTACTCAAGCGTGGCAGCGTCACGGTAACCGCAAAATAATAACAGCTAAAATATTATTATATGCCTTTATCTGATGCAGCTAAAATAAGCGCTTAGCTCGCAGTAAAATGTTTATCCTAAACCAAAAACGCAGAAGTTGCTTGTTATTCTTATTTTTATTTATTTTTTTTTTTTTTCTTGTTACACTACCCAACAAATCCAAAGGAAAAATTCGCGATTGGTGCACCAAGAGGTCTGCAGTGTATTTGAGGTGTGCTGAATACGAATTTTTGTTGAAAAATTTTCATCAAGTACAGTTTTATTTGTCACTTTGGTAAATCGAAGATTAGGACGTTTTTACTTTCATTTTCAGTTTTAGCAAGAAGCACCCTCCAATACCACAGTCGGAAAGTGATTCTAAACTTGTGTAATTATTATGCCAAAATTAAAAGTTAAACACTGGAGGAGTTAACTGGTGAATAACAAAAAAACTTTAATTTTAGCAGTTTTTCTAATATGTATACGAGATTGCTTAAAATTTATTAAAAATTTCTAAAAAGATATAGACCGAAATAGGCAGTGTTAATAAAGCTCACAACTAAGGAGCGTCATATTGTAGATTTTCATTTTCAGATCATCAATACTCTTAGCAGCTGCAACTATTAACTGTTTACGGTTTTTAGAACTTCGGAAAACGAATTAGGTAATTTCATTGGATAGATTATATAGCCAGCTTTATTAACGTATGAAAAATGAAAAGCATTAAAAACCACTTTAGAGATCTAAGTTTTTTAACAATCCATTTAATATTCTAAGAAAAAGAATATAAAGTTTTCCACTAAGAAAAGAAAGGTGGGAAGGTCTCCCAAAGGCACAAATTACGTATATACAGGCAAATGATAGCCGTGACGAGCTGTGTCAATTTAAGCTTGCCTGTCTGTATATAAGTGAACTAATCCCTCAGTTATTGATATATCGGCTTTACACTCATCCTTTTCTCTCCAATAAGCTGCTTATTTGACCCGACACAAGACCACGTATAGAAAAATTTATTCAATAAGTTTGGCACAGATTATTAGCGAAGACATCCTTACAATCTGATAAGAAATCATTCAGATCGGGTAACAATAGCTTTTAGTTATTATACAAACAGAAAGGTCAAAAGCAAGTTTTTGTACATATGAAAACTCTTTTGTCTCAAAAGTTGTCTTAACGAAATTTAGCAAATATTATTATTCATTAACTTATAGCTGCCATACAAACTGAACGATCGGAATCAAGTTCTTGTATGGAAAACCTTCACATTCGACTAGAAATATTCACGAAATTTGGTGTGGATTATTTTCTAAGGCAACAATGTAATCTCCGAAGAAATTGTTCAGATCGGATTACTACAGCATATAGCTTCCATACAAACTGAGCACACAGTTAGTAAAAGAAATGCACCTGTGAAGGGTATATTAGCTTCGGTGCAGCCGTAGTTAACGATTCCTGTGGTTTTAATTTAAATTTCGCGCAAAAACTCATTTGATAAAATATTTTTTTCTTAGGTCGGTATGACTGTTGGAGACATCTGCGCCAAATGTCACATCGAAATAGTCATTGGTGTTTGGCGTGTTTTTATGAAGGACACAAAGTGTATTCGGCGATTTTTTCGAAGAGTAAAATTGTTCAGCAAAGAAGTTCCGTTAAATTTTCTGTGCGGAATCAAATTTCTGTTGCCGAAAATGCTCAGAAGGTTGGAAAAGGCCCTCGGTGATAATACTTCAACGCGAGCAAGTGTTTTTGATTAATACAAATTACCGCGTCGGTGACGAACCACGTCCAAGACAGCCAGCAACATCAACTAATGATGACTGCTTAAAAAAAAGGTGAAAGCAAAATTGGTTTCAAAATAACTTAAGTTTTTTTTTTTCGAAAAACAACGCAGCGTTAACGTCTGTAATACATAGCTTTTCGACTACTAGGATCATGAAACGTATATTTGCTGGAAACGGGTTTTGGATCCATGCTTATGATCTGGTAACATTCAATCAAAACGATCAATTCGTCGAATATCGAACCAAAGATGAGCGGAAGCCGAAAAACCACGTTAAAGCAGGTCAAAAAGTATAGTTATATTGACAGTACGTTCCGGGGAGACCGTTTTGAGTCAATTGAAGATATTAAATGTGAATCGGGAATGTGGGGCGACCAAGATTTTGAATGAGAATAAATTAAGAATTCTAAAATTCTGAACAAACTCTTACTATTTTTGCTGATGGTAGTAATATAGAGAAAAAGTGGAAACTTTTTGGTTATAAGCAAAAGCATTTTCAGTGCTGGGTACATTATAAAGATCTGATTTGTGTTTCAAATTTCTGCGTGACGCGATTATGTGCGATTGTATGTATGTATAGAAATGTATATATGCTATCACACATGAAATTGTTTGGCTAAAGCGATTATTTTGGTTTCTGTTTATGCTTATATTTATATACTTGCGACGCATTTATTTGGCAAATTKTTATCTCTCTCTCTCTCTCGTACACAAACAGACTGCGACTCCCAAATGTATTTGCCCGCTATGTTGTGCCTTCATTTTAGCACTGAATTATTAAAATCTATGCACAATTTAATCACAAATTTATGATTGCATATTTTGAAATGCGTGCTTGTCTCCGAACACACAGAATATCCATGAACATGTGCGCATTTGTGTAACCAAGCAAGCGAATAAATATTATTCAGCATTAGTCACGCGACGTGTGGCGCTCAAGCGCTTACACAAATTTAGCTGTGAAGTGCCTGAGGCGCATTTACATATTTTATAAATGAATTTATTAATATTTGTTTTTGCGAAATCATATTTTGACACTCCCTCCCACTATCTCTTTTCTGTGTCTCTTGCAGCTTGGCACTTTGGTGCCCATTGCCACACCCGCCCCACCGACTACAGTAGCACCGCCAGTGCGCGTCGATATACAGTCATCGAATCTGCTCAATAATCTGCCGCCACTATTAAATACGCCAACGGTAAGTAGATAGTGGAATGAAATAAACTCTCAGCATTAAACTTTTATAATGAATACAGTATTAATATATAACTACATATTAAAGTTTGAAGTGCTAATAGTTTTGTTGATAATGAAAAATACTATTTGTAAATCACACTTTGTCACAGGCAAAGTATTCACAGCATGGACAGCATTTCTGCTTCACGACACACGATACTCTTAACAATTTGTTAATTGCAAAATCTTTAGTAGTTCTTTTACGTTTTAATATGAAAAAATATGATATTTATACTGTGACCTAAATACAAAACGACGCACAACGCTACTGTACATAACCTCACTACACATACATACGTGCCATATCCTCCAACAACTACACCATGCTTGCCATCACACCGCCACATGGAAACTAATTTACATTACACCGAAGTATTGAGCAAATTACTTTCACTTTCAATCAATATTTACTTTCAATACCTGTTTTTATATTTTTTTGCTTTAGAAATTTAATTTTATTTCATTTTTTGTTTGTTTGCATTTTCATTATTTGTATTCCCTGCGCTAAAATTTGAACCATCTGCAAAGAGTTGTCTGCCTTTCCATTGCATGCAACTTACTTCATTTGTTCTCTTATGCTTTTCATTGCTTCCTCTAGCGAGCCTGTGCGAAATGTACTTTTCCTTTACTTTTTTCTTTTTTCTTTTATTATTATTTTTACTTTTTGCTTTTAAATGAAAATAAGTTTGCAGGCGAAACTAGAAGCTCCGCTTGAAATTCGCTAAGTCGATTTGAAAATTTCTCTTCTCTTTTCCACCTTTTTTGTTTAGTCTGTAAATATATATTTAAACTTTTGCTATTATTCATTTGAAGAAATATTTTAAAGAGCTTTATTATTTTCGTTTTAATAATTTTCGCTTTGTTTCTCATTTTAATGTTTTTGTTGTTCAATCTTAACTAGCAGTTTTTTCAGAAACATATTTTTGTAAATCACACTTGCAGCTTAGTACTTGTATAACCATGAAAATTAAATTCGCAAAAGATTTCGAGAATGAAAATGTAGAATTTTTTTTTTTTGTTTTTTTTTTGAACCACTTAAATATTGGTTCTGATCATTAGTGGAAAAAAGAAATAAAGATATTTAGAGGAAATACTATCAAGTGCTAAAATTAAATTGGCTTCAATGGATGAGAGCTAACTTTAATTTTATTGAATCCGACTATCAAAAAATACACACTGTGAAATAAAAAAGTCAGTTTGGAAAACATTTAAAGCCAAGATTAAATATTTAATCCGAAGGCTTGCATAATCCCCACTGTTGCTCAAAACAGACGATGGAGCCATAATGAGACATTAAGATTAATTGGGTAATTGCTAAATGGCTGAATAAACTTAAAATATCACCTGCTTAAAGCAAACCTTTCAGATTATCCTGAATTATTGATATTTCCGATGATTTCAATGTTCTCCCACAAACTTTTTAACGCAACATCAACCACAAACAAATGTGTTTAAATGCAGTCAGTGATATTTCTAAAGCAATAACTTGCATAGCTTCATCACAGCGCAAACATTTTTCTCTTACACCTGTTTTAAGGAGGAGAATTGCTTCTCTGTCGGAAAAACATACGTTTACCTATTAGCATGTCAACGGTCATGCTACTAAATTACCCTTTAGTACGACAAAGGCAGTAAACTTTGACTGTGTGCTAATTAAATTTTCCAAATCCCATGCATACAAGCACACACACACATGCTTAAGCTGCGCCTTGTCCACACACAGGCATAATCAAATCCATACTAATTTATTTTAATAGGTCAAAAGGTTAAACCGCAAATGAGAGAATTGAATGGACGTAGCATAAAACGTAATGTGGCAACAATAAAAAATTTTAGCGAAAAAAAACCTTTGGGAAAATCGAATTGAATATTGTCAACAGCGGCGCTGTGCACGAATCCATATGCAGTTGACTGTGTGTGTATGTGCATAGCATGGCGACAAAAAGCGAATTCAGCTACAAGCCGAACCCACTGGGCGAGTAGGGTGCACAAGTGACTGGTATTCAGAATGAGGTGAAATGAAAAAATCCAGTAAAATTGCCACTTAAACATTTCCGCTCGTCAAATCGCATAGCGCTAATGGCTCACATAGGTTATAAGCAATATCGAATACTTAAGCAAGTGAAAATATACATAAATGTTACTACTAAAAAAATATTTTTTAATTAAAAGCAACAAATATGCAAAATCACTTGAATTTTTTGGAGTGGGTAGATAATGCGTCGCTGAGCTCAAGACCATTCCGAGAAAAGCTTTTGAGCAGTATCTGAAATACTAAATAAATAATTGTATCTAATTTCGAAATTTGAGTAAATTATTATTAACATTCTTACTTTTGTTTCATCTGAATGAAATGCACAGAAAAGGCAGTGAAAAAAATTAATAAAAATTTGTTGATAATTTCTTTTTAAAAAACCGGCACCTTTTATACCAGTTATCTACCAAATTACTTTGCCTGCATTTCGGTGCGTACACCCAGACACTCAAGAGGGCCCCAATTTGGCTAGAGCGTTTCACAAAAAAGATGCTGGCGACGGAACTTATTCGAAAGAAGCAACAATGTGTTAGAAGTGAAACCAGAATCTTAGACACCAGTGTTCGAGGTACACATACGGTCATAAATATATACATATGTATACAGATATAGACTTTACATATGTATGTACCATAAGTAGATATATATTATATGACAGGGAAACCTACCCAATCGAGGTCACAGTTGGGTATAAATGCTAAATCTCAAAGGAGCGAAGGCAAAAATTGGGCAACAGACAAACCGCTAGCTTTTTCACACAAACACACATGCAAGAGCATTTGAACTCATCTCCGTAGCAGTCAAATGCAGCGAAGAGTTGAGGTTGTCCCCATCTAGAAACATTGTTAAGTGGGTAAAAATGGTGTTGAAACCAAATTTAAACTTGTTTGCGCTCAATTTGAGTTCGGGTAATTTAATTCAATGCAAAATTTATTCACCTCAAATGCTTAGCTGGAGACAAAACAAACACACGCACCCGGCGGTATGCGCAAATATGTGCACATGTGTGTTTCTTATAAATCCAATCAGGCCACTTACATACCTATCGTCATTGTTTTAACTACACTGCTGTGCAAACACTCGCCGCTCGTGTCTAACAAAACCATTATCCTTTGCCGTAGTCTCACTTCTTAACCCAATCAAGCCATCAAACGTATTGAGCTTACTCTTTCCACCACACGCCTGCACCGGTCGAGCTCTTTTTCCTGCGTGTTTTTCTGGTGTCTATTCCTGCTTTTATGTCTGTCCTTTCATTTCTTGTGAACACACATTCAAATTTTACGAGCATGAATACCGTTCGACTCCTCATGCCGCTCACTCAAATCACTTTTTTACTTTATTACACAGAATCAACCTTTTTGACTAAAATTGAGAGTTCAGCTTGCTTATTTTATATTTTGAAACTGAAAGAACATATATACTCATGTAAGCCGATTACATATAGACGCATACTATGATACTACCAGTTTATATGAGAAAATAACACTAGTTCTTTCACTTTCGTTCAAAACTCGAAATTTTTTTTAAAGACTTTTTTCTCAACTCCAAATCCTAAGCCACTTCTTCAGTTTTTATCTTTTTCTTTCTATTTTCTAATATTACTGAAAAAATGTTTTAATAAAATTAAAATAAAAACTCATAGCTTGTAGCTTGCTGTAATCTTTCAGTTTTCTGATGTAATTTTCCCAATGAGAATTTTCTGAATTTGGATTTTATTTGGTTACAAATTTAATTAGTAAATGTAGAGTTTTGTGAAATACATTTACCATTTCATTTGAAATACTGCTTAATACATTTGTACACCGTTATTGTATGCAAAAACACAAAAAGTAACAACAACAGCAACAAACACAAAGCCAAGCACATATAAAACAAATCAGAAATAAATTCAAAACACGAAATTTAATTCAAAACTACGCACATTTTTCATAACACATTGACCTCGATTTACATTGAAAAACGTACAACAACACTTAGCATAAGTTCTAATGAAACCCTATGAGTGCTAAAATGAGTTAATCACATTGAAAAATTTTATATTAACAATATTCTCTGCTAAATCCTACGGCAAACGCAGTTTACAACGGCGCCGGAGTATGAAACGGTAAATATGAACTACGTGAGCTGAATGCAATTTATAAAAAAATATTTAAAAAGTTGAATTTGCTAAACTTTGCTGTTTTTTAAGCGGTAGTAATTGCTGTTGTTGTTTATTTTTGTTGCAATTTTTGCTTTATTTGCATGTTACTGTGGCGCTAGATAACATTTTAACACACATCTGTATGTACTATTAAGATGCTTCAGTAAACCATAATATTCAACAGCAGCATCTTGAAGCTCAAGCAAATAAATATCATGAATACTCACACATACCCACAAACTATTATTTTCAACGCAAATCACACATGTGAAACACTTTCGATGTCATAAATTAATGTGAATTTAGTACACAGCAGCTTGCATGCCAATAACTAACAATTTTTTCAGCCACTCTTCGTGCATATGAGCGACACCATGTCGTATGAGTAACATATAATTTTATTTGCCATATAGTTATCGCGCGTTGTCGTTTCCGCTCTCCCACACACACACACATACTGCCGTTGGTAGATGTTACCAACACCTACACTCGCTAGTTGCCGTTAACTGCATACCTTTTAATGGAAATTCACGAACACGCACACGCCTACACATACTGCACCTGCACGCCGCTGAAAAGGTCGAACGTTATGTCAATGGAATTTTTATTTTCATTGCATTCTCCGCTCTCGCTGCATCTGCTTTTATACGTTTCATGTAATGCCATTTTCCGTTGATTTTATTTAATTCCTGTTATGGTCTTTTTATGCATTTGTTACAGCCAATGGTTGCGATTTTCAAGCTTTTTATTATTCGCTGTTTTTGTGGCGTTGTGCGCTTTCGCATTTTTTCGGAGGTGCAGTCGCTCCCACACCCCTACGAATGTACCTATATATGTATGTATGTGTGTATGTATTTTTCGTATTCCACTTGGCGCTCTTTAGTTAAATGCTCGTGTCGATTGTCACTCAACGGTATTAAGCAATAAATGCTGTGCGAATCAAATTAAAATGATTTTTTTGCATGCAAAATTTTGTTGCCGCTGGTGGAGCGATGTCAGCGGTGTTATCGGCGAAGCTGATGACATAAAAAGCTCTATTTAAGTGATGCCACCGAGAGCGATTTAATAGCGCATATGGTGATATATGGTGTTGGGGGATTTATGAGCCGATTTCGTTTCTCCTAAAATTTCGCTTTTAAAGTGTTGAGAAGATGAATAAGAAAAGAGATAAAAATTTTAAAGGTTTATCGCGATCGTAAAGATCACTAAAATAACTGTTTGATAAAAAATATTTTTAAAATACGTAAAATTGTTAGATGATCTAATGTATATTGCTCAGGTGCTCTAACTTCGTAGCACGAATCGAATTTGAGGTTTTTATGGGAAAATACATTGCTCAAATATTGAGAAAAATATAAAAAGTATTTAGATAATCTCCAATTCAAAAATGAATTTTATAACATATTTATAAAAATAAATACTTTTCGGATGAAAACAAAAAAAATGTTTGCTAGATATCGTTCGCAGTCGAAAAACATAAATATAAAAAAAATCGGAGGCTCGGTTGCGAATCAATTAAACCGCGCAAAAATGCTAAGGATTACAATAACTTGATTTCGATGTTTCAGTTTGTTAGCTAGCTATAGGCTATAGGGATCGCATCTGCACTATTTTTTCGGATATTGGTTTATTTCCTTAAGCCATAAATGCCAAATTTCATGGAGATGTCCAGTCAAATGAAGAGTTTTTCATATAAGCACTTTGTTCCGATCGTTCAGTTTGTATACAAGCTATATGCTATAGTTGTCCGATATCGACGCTACTAACAAATAAGCAACTAATTGGGGAGAAAAGGATGGGTGCAAAATTTCACATTGCTATCTCAAAAATTGAAAGACTACTTTGTTGTCTCCTTCGGGTGTGTAGCACACTTCGTGACAAACCCCGTTCACGGTATGAAAATTAACAAAAAGTCGAAGTTTTAAAAAAAGTTGAATCTTACTCAAAATATTGGATGTATTGGCTTGCCGAATTTCGATTTTTCATCCGATCAACTACTAATAAATCATCGCAGAAAGAACATGCAGAATTTGAGGTTAATTTGATCATTTGTATCCGAGTGATCACTGCACTTCGATAAAGAGGCGGGTTGAACTGTGTGACTTCTAAAGTACAACGCTCTAAAATATTAATTTAAAGTTACAGCATGATACTTTGAAAACAAAAAAAAGTTTGCAAAAACATTTTTTTTTTAATTTCAATATAGGTGTGTCCTTTAAATGGTATAGTAATCTCTAATCGACCTTTAAGTTGTAAAATTCTTAGAAGTTTACGAAGTAAGCAGCCGTAGCCTTCATAAAATTAACAATAGGCATATACATATTTACAAAAGCAAACGAGGAATGCGAACAAGTCCAATCACGTCGCAATGACATTTGCACTAAAACGCTTGGAATATATTACCTTCACAAACCCATAAGAGGTGTGTGCATCTTGGCTGAAATTTAAACGCGTTCAAAAGTGCGTGAACATCATCCATGTGTCAAGTGTACCGTTATTCTACGCTTATAATAACGCATTATAGCAATGCCGTTGTTTGCCAGCTCCTCTCATTTTTATGCTGCTCGCCTCGCGCCACGCAATTTCTACAATTTTCTTACAGAGTTGCACAACCAAAGCGTAAATATGCGAATGAAACGGTTTTCTATGCGTGCGACTTGACGGCGTTACGTATACGCCGTGTATGTTGCGATTTTAACTGTCATCGTAAATAAAATGCGTAGACATTTTAAGTTTAATGCTTTATGCGCATGTCATGGTGTGGTTAAGGTGCTACTGGGTGTATGTGTGTGGGTGTGTGTGTGTGTAGTACAGAGGCCGCGCTACAAGCTGCCATTCTTTTTAGCGCCATTCAGAACAGATTCATTTTGTATTTTCCATTCCATTGTAATGCCAGATATCGCCACTAAAAATAATAAGTAAATGAAATATGTATAAGCTGTGTATTGCATGTCACTATCGCAAGCGCGTTACGTATTCACACACGCGCTTTGACACCCAGCCTTGTTGTAACGTTTCGGACCGAGAACGAAAAAAGCTGTGCAAAAATAAGAGTCATTCACTGACATAATTCACCACACACAATTCGTGCATTTCAAAAAGCTCGTAATGTAAGGTCATAACGTTAGAGTCGGTTCAGTTTGTTTGGCAAACGGCATAATATTATATTGAAACGCATGTGCTTAAGCATATAAGTACGATAGCTGTCTAGAGGTGCTGAGGCTGCAACAAGAAATCTAGTACCAAAGTTTGGCAAAGTCGCAAGAAATTTAAAAATCTTAAGTCGTCAAAGTTTTACGCTTCTTCAGCTCACTGAGAGTCTTGTTGTTTAAGTTCAATTTTACTTCTTTAACTTAAAAGCAATATTCACTTAGAGTAAATGCCAGACTTTCGGTAACCCAGTCAGCGCAATATTTTCAATACCTGAATTTATTCGCACATATTTATTTCATTATAATCCATTTGCAACTGCGCTCGCATATTTATTTCCGGTACTCAACGGTTTTATTGTGCGCCAATCTGCCGTTAGCGGCGAAAAATTGACAATTTCAATCAAGAAGGCATTTGACATATTTCACAATATTCATCGCATATAAATCAAATATTGCAGCTGTACGCTACCGCAGAGCAGCACACACTCACACGCTGCAGCTACTTCATACAGACAGATGTGCTTCTGCGCGCTCATAAATATGTATGTAAAACCCACAAATAAATATTTACTCTATACATTTATATAGAGTTATTTGACCGTTTGGCTATCTTTGCGCCACTCACACCCACACAACGCGCTTGTGGGCTAAGATGACGTCTACGCAACATATTCGGCATTTGTCTTCGAGCTCGTTGGGGATACGAAATAATCAGTTATTTTCGCAATAATACCACGTTACAAGCTCTCGCTGCTTGGCATGAGCATTTGTTACATATTTATTTGTTTCTTCCTCGTTTCATTTCTCTGTCGGTTGCTTGCAACAACATCTCCGGCGGCGCGCAACTGGCCACTTGCCGTTGGGACACCTGCAACTGTTATTTCTGACAGCCCCAGTTAGATTGATTAGTAGCCCTCGAGAGATGGCACGTTATTTATGTAGCAAGACAAAAATAATATTTGCGCATATAGTTTCATAACTCAGCAGCTTTCCAATTGACAAATCGCTTTCAATTACGATTTGCTACAAGCTCACATGCGTTGCAATGTACTTTGTATATGTGCGCCTTCGTGCATTGTAGTTGCCCTTATGCTGGCAGCTATGCGTAATGACGCGAAAATTATGACCATATTTATTTACATATTTGCTTGTACATTTAAATAATTCGTGTCACAAACTGACAGCAAATTAAATGCGTAAACAAGATTTTAATTACAACAATTGCGCTTTTGATTGATTACATAAATGTGTAAATCAACCAAACGTACATATGCGGGCGTGTGTGAACGCATGTGTACGTGAGCACTTAAGGATATTTAAGCTTGCTGCAGAACATTTAATTTGTTGTTGCTGCTCAATTCTTAAAGTTATGCATTCAAACGTAAATTTCGGAGTGTTTTTGTAGCAATTTTCAAAGCTTCGGTTTAATTTTAATAGAAAATCAGAGGATGTTTTTTCACAAAAATCAAGCAAACAAACTATTGTAGTCTGCGGAAGATATTGCGCGAGTATATGAATGTTACTAAAAATTAGTAAATTGTGGATATAAAAATATTTATGAGCGAATTTTTCATGTATTCTTTATTACAATATTAAATTTTATCAAATTAGATACCCAAAATGTACATGACGCTTACATATTTTGGCTTTATCTATCAATGTCATCTCAGTGGAAGTGCAAGCCAAAGAAATTTATAATGAAAGAGAGTATATCTAATCCTAATTGATCCAAAGAATAGTCAATATTTCGAAAAATTTTCATATTTTTTTAATCGCAGCAACAGAATTATGAAAATGGCCCTCATTCTGGTTTTTATGCTTCAGTCAAACTTTTCCTGATTTCTAAAACAAAGACATGAAAATATCAATGCAAGAGCTATAAAGCGTACGAGAATTAAGAAAGTAAGGTGTTATATCCACTTGTGAATTTCAATAAATCCAATTTTTGGTGAGCAAGTTTTACAGAAACTACTGAACCGACTGAGTTGGTATTTTTACACGTCCTTCATAGATATACTTGTCAATAGTGATTGAAAAAATGAAGTTTCTCATATTTATTTTGTTCCTTTAAGTCACTTTGAAGTTGAATTTTGATTAAAAAAAAAACTACTTTTTTAAGAGAAACCGAAATTTTTTTAAATTCTGGCCAGTGCTTCGATTATTAGCTAAGTTTTTATAGCTAAAGGAATCGTCGAATAATAAATAAATAAAGATATAACGATTGAAGCTCTGAAAAGGACCTTTCGTATGATGGGTTGGAATGGAAAAACAAGAACTGATTTAATCTGCTTTCCAAACTCAGAAGGCATAAACGGAATGACAGTTCTGAGGATGGTTGGAGAAATGTTATGCATTATCTTACAGTATATTGAATATATATTATATATTTTCAATACTCCATAAAAAATCACATAAAAAAATGTTGCCACGCTGGCTACCGCTTGATTCACACACAAAAACCGAGATAAGATTCAAGAAAATTGGATCATAATCGACTCCACTAGGTGCTTTCGGTGAAAATAGTAGCATCACACAATACCCAAAATCGTTCATTTACCCAATGAAGAGGATACGGGTCTGCACTCAGCTTTGGATATAAGACTTTCGATATATGTAAGGCATTCATTACCCTCTCTCGTGTATCGCCAGCATTAAAAAATACATGAAGAAAAGGGCAGAAGAAACAATAATTGACGTGTCCATTGCAGCAGCTCTTAGTGAGAAAATGTACCAAAATAGTCCACTGTTTGCTCAAGTCTAAATCACCTTTGATGTTTTCTTACACAGTATTGCAAACAAAGTTAAATTTCATAGCATTTTTGCTTTTAATCGACATTCAGTTTTGGGTGATTTTCTCTTCATTCAAACTGTTTTAAGTGTTTAAATGTTGGTTTTGCATACACCAATTAATCAATCAGCTCCATAAAGGTGTAAGTTAAGCCTTCACAAGGTTTCTGTTAAATCGCTGTAAAAAATTTAAATTTTTAACGAATAGACTATAATTATGCATGAATTCATAAAATAAATTTATTTTATTTTCATAAATTGTATTCCATTGAAAGGGCAACACAAATCATTTAAGCCCATGGGCAGAAATTTATTATGAAGGTATTAGCACTTAATGTGTACATATTTTTTTACTTATGCGTACACTCATACATACATATATACTTACCATTTGCATGCCTCCTCTCGGAAAATACGATTATGTTTACAAAAAGCGACTTAAAAAACCAGAAAGGCTTTCCAAAACACTACAAAGCTTAAGGCTACTTAAAAACTTAATTTGTTTCAAAGCACTATAGTTTCTCCTTCTATTTACGCTAGAAAAGATATTAATATTTTTAATGATTTCACATAAAACACGCAAGCACATAAATCACATTGCTTAATAATAATACAAAATGCTTAAATTTTTACTAGAGAGACTTCTTATAAATTTTCTTTAGCTATAATTTTGCTTTATTTAATATTTTCTTTTATTTGTGAATTGGCTTGCTTTTTAACTCTCTGAAAGCTTCATATTTCGGCATGGTTTCAATGTTTGGCTTTTCACATTTTAATCATAATTGTTGTTGCTTCAAATTGTTTAAATGTTACACACTTTGTTTTTGTAGTTTTTGTTATATTCTCAAAATGAAAGTTAAATGAAATTTGCTTATTTAAATGAAAGCTAACTACAATTATCTAATAATGAAACTTTTCTCTTTTCAAAATGAAACGAAACAACCGCAAATTCATTAAAAAATAATTAACAATCAATTTAAATGCTACGCTCTCGGGTGCTTCGGCTCGCTCTGCGGCGCATTTATTTATGTTCATATTTAAATCGCAAAATAACAAAATCATAACCGCGCAAAAATCGACATTCCCTGCCGTCCCGACCGCACAGTGGTATCCACGCATGGTGAGTTCTAAAAATTAATCCCACACCAAAAAAAAAATCCCAAAACAAAAAAACAACAACAACAGAAAAACAGTAAAACAGACCGACAGATGTGTATAAGAGACAGGCACAGTGGTATCCACGCATGGTGAGTTCTAAAAATTAATCCCACACCAAAAAAAAAATCCCAAAACAAAAAAACAACAACAACAGAAAAACAGTAAAACAGACCGACCACAGTCAAAGTTCAGGGTGTACACATCATCATTTAACAACATTAATTGCATTTTATGATTTGTGGGGCACTTTTTTGCCAAGCATATTTTTTACGCCGTTTCCATTTTATTTTTGTTGTGATTTGCATTCACACGAATCGCAGATTAATTTAATTGCGTTTTGTTTTCATTTTCTGCGCGTTGGCATAGTTTTAATTGCTTGACAAATGAGCATAATTATGTGGAGCGCGGTTTCGCTTCACGCATTCGCCATTTTCTAGCAGACAATTAACTGAACAATTAACAAACACACATATTTATTTTTAATACTTTCGTTTTTTTGTATTGGTGATTTCATTTTATTGCTCGTGCAGTCTATATAAATTCAATTAAAAAATTATAAGGCAAATAGTGCATTGCCTCACCATACATGCACACCCGTGTGCATACGCGTGTACGCCTGTGTGTGTGTGTGCAGCTGTGAATATGCAAATGAACATGTCAACAGGCAGTTAAACATGCATAGTCACTTAGTCCACTCAACTATGCACACACATTATAAATGATGCACTGTTGGCTAAATAATTGATTGGCAAATGGCGCAAGAAATACAAGCAAAGCAAAGCCAATGAATTGACCCGTGCTCAAATTGGCGCCACTTGTGTGTTAATCAAGCGAATTTAGCAAACAAACATATAGATATTTTTTTTTTATTAAAAATGCACCATCTAACTCTTTCTCTAACGTTATTTACTTTGCACAGCTTCGCGTGGCGGCACTGAACGAGCCTTACGTCGGCGATCTGCAGGGCATACGCGGCGCTGACTTCGCCTGCTATCGCCAGGGGCGCCGCGCCGGCTTATTGGGCACCTTCAAAGCCTTCCTGTCATCCAGGTAAACACATATGTATTTACTGTTATTATGTCAAATTCTCATATATTTACTAGAAAAACACATCTAACGGTTTGTATGTACAATGCTGCCAACGCTGCATTTTAATTGAATTAACGCGCAATTTATCCAGGAGAACTGCGAACATTGCATTGGCGAACCGCAAAATCGATTGAAATATTTATGTGAAAATTTATTTGATTAGTTTACTAGTAAAATTTATTCGGCATATTAAGCAAATATTGGTTTACCTTTTTCTGATAGTACACTAGTAATTATGATGACTTAATTCCGAAAGAATATGTAGATGTGTTTGTTCAAGGATTTATTAAAATATTAATATCGAAATCATAATGGAATCGCATAAACCCATTTTTTTTTTGTAACTTTAAGTGGGCTTGGTATTTTGATAGTAGTTTTCATCAGCAAAATCATTCTACTTAGACAGGAACAAGTAATCATCGTCTTATGCTATAGAAACATTGTAACCAAGCCCCCCAGAGCCTCTGGCAAGCAACTATCGATACAGATGATACACAATTCCTCCCCTATTGGTATAAAGCTTGCCGCTTCTGGGCGATTGCTTACTTTCGACAATAAAATTGTTAAATAAAACTTGGCCTTGGGGAGCTCATAGCTGATTTGCTATGAATCCCGTAAAATAGAGACAAACTTCCTGACAGTCTGTCAACCCTAGCTTCACAATCGTTTGAGCCGGCTAACAACCATTCGACCACAACAGTTTTCACTTAACGTTATCGTAAGTGATCCTCTTTTCATCATCAGTAACCAACTGGTTTAGAAATTCAGAGGCTTGCTTCGCGTTAACTCCCATACACTGATAGTCTTGTTATTTTCAGCATTTTTGAAATGGTTCTGAACTGTTTTTTGGGCGATACCAAGTTTTTGGGCAGTCGAAACAGTGCTTACGATACGTTCATATTTGATTTTCTTCATTGTTTTACATTTAATTTGTCTTCTATAGAATAGACTTTGCTTGTGTACAGATACTGAATCAAATACTCATGAAATTGCACAAACAACTTTTTTAAAACAAACTCTTATCCATCTAAAGTCATATATCGCACGAGATGCAAGTTGCTACAGACGTCGATTAATATATAGAATACTAGCTGTATCTTTCTCTAATGAAGGTAGGATGATAAGATTGTGAGAGCATTCATGCGAAATTTATCAAATATAAAGATTAAACAAGGTTAAAGCCATCACAAAAAAAAGGAGTGAGACAAAACTGAAAATCTTTTGCCAAGATGAAATATTTCAAAGAATATTGAAACGCAAAAGAATAACAAGCAACTTCCCATGTATACGGTAACCAAGGCTATACAAATCAGTACATTATTTTAAGCAAGTATTACATTAACTCTGAAACTTGGAATTATAAAATGCCACTTTTAATTCATAAAAGATTTGCTGGCAAGTCAGAATAAAGTAATTCTTATTAACTGACAGCTTCACTATCCATCAAAAATATTTTCATAACTTTAAATCTAATTAATACCCATAACACCCAAACAAGAGATTTAATGCCAACACATCATGACCACTCCAGCTGAAGCAGGGGACCTGAAAGTCGTCATAAATTTAATTTCAACACCGGAAGCACACATTTGCCCGTTATTTAAGCAAATTTAACTGCCACAACGATCAGCACGAGCGCAACGGAAACGAAAATACAAATTGACAATAACTTAGTAAGAAAATAAACAAAAGGCAAAGCAAAATTCGAAAAAAGAAGTTGAAAGAAGTGGCCAAAACAATTTACAAGTTGAGCAGTGTTTACAAGTACCCTCATTATTTTCAATTACAGCGCTTTCCACATCCGACTACGATTATGGCAGGAAGAAAGCGAAATGCACAAAACTACACCAGTTTATGTGTGTGTGTTTTCACCTGTTATTGTAGCCAGGTCTTACAATGCTTGAGATGTATAAAAAGCAATGCTATGGCCAGCAACTAACAACCACCAGCGCTGAGCCAACAGGTACGCCAGGCGATGACTGGACCAAAAAGTGAATTTCGTTGCACTGTTTACACTAACGAAGTGCATGAGTGTTAGTGTGTTAGACACTGTTAGGCAAGCCGTGCCTTGTGGACTCTGACGTTGTCACAACACAAGTCATGCTTACTTTTGCTTTTGCTTTCACTTTCTTTGAGTTGCTTCATATTTTGCTAGACTTCAGTGAGCTCCTTCCCAGACTCACCAGCAATAAGCAGCGCTGCTCTACCTCCGCTGCAACATTTACCCACTCACCTATATTTAAAATTAGCTGTGGCACTTGTACACTCGTGCTTGTAGCAGCTGGCAGCTCGGGTGGCACCGGCTACTCAAGCGTGCAGCTAAGCGGCCAAGGACAAGCATGGCCTAGAGCGGCAGAAGAGCGCTACAAATAAAGAAAGTAGACGTCGCTGCCATGCGAAAGCAAGCACTTTCCTGTTTTGCTGCTACTCGATCTCATTTGCTCTTGCCACACCAACAACTGACGGAACTGAATGACTACATAGTTACGTCCTACACAGTACCACCGCTCCTCAGCGCACCTCAACGCTGCAGCTTGTTAACTTACTTTATTAAAACCTTTAACCTAAATACTGAGCATACAACAACAAATGCAACAAACACAAGTGCAAGCAAATTTCGCCACGCATTCCACAACCAGTGACCGAGACACATTAAACGTACGACGCCCTGCTTATGATAATTTCTTAAAATTAAGCGCTTCGTACGCATTGTTGCTGCCGCTGCCGCTCAGCCGCCCCTTCACCCATCCATTGCTGCCTTACTCAAACGTCAGCAGTGCGCTGTTTTACATAATTTAGTGTAAATTCAACAAAGGCAGTCAGCAATAAATGCATACATGTGCTGAATATCCGTAAGGACCGCATTTACCTCTACAAACACACACACAACTCTTTCAAGTATTTGGGTCAAGTTGAACAGTAAATGTTGCATACATTATGCAGTACCTTCCACAATTGCAGTGTCACAGCTTACCGCGCTGCCCCGAACGGTTGCCAGTTACTGGTGTTGGTACACCGGCGCGTATGCGCAACTACTGTCCGGATGCGTAGACAATTTAACGCGAGACTTGCGTTTATGAACACATACACTCTCAAACAAAAGTTAATACATATTTATTAGGGCGGTTCATAAGCTAAAAATTTTCACATTATTTTTCGTAATCGGATCTCAGTTTTTTCAATTCTTCATAGAGAAAATAAAGCTTTATCCTCTTGCCAGACGCCTTAAATCTACAAAATCTGATCCATTTGCATATAATTAAAGTTGGCGTGGATGAAAAAATAGTTAATTTCCTATCTGAGGAACACCCTAATACTTAAGCGAAGCCGCCGTAGCACCTCCCATCTCCTTCGTGTTTCAGTTTGTTGCACTCGCATATGTTTGCGCCAAAGTCAGCTCGCTTTCCTTCGGCCATGCTGACTCGCTACACCAACTGCAACAGCTTGTCCTCAGACACACACTCAACAATAACTACATATTTAGCCTGCAGTTACAACACTGCATAACATGCTTGCACCTAGTTGCATATACACACCGTTGAATGTTATTCCGGCAGCTTCGGCTTCTACAACATGTTGTCTTCCGCTAACTACGTTACTTGTAGGGATACGCAACGGTTTGGCGCTTTCCTGTCACTCAGCGCATGTTTCGACGCACTTGTCATTCTGCATTCACACACACACACACATATGGAAATAATAGATATGGGTTCATTTATTTAATTTATTTTTTCGGTCTTCTCGCAGCTTCGTCTATCATGACACTATCTCCGCATGCGCTCGCACTCAGCCGCACTCTCCTGCATGCGTATGTGAGTGTGTAGTTGTTTCTTTAAGTACCGCATGCTGGCTGTTGCATAAACTCACCTTTTAATTAGTCGCAAACACGTTACTGCCACTCGTCGAGTTGCCACCTGCGTTTGATGACAATCCTCTTTCAACTCGGCGCCACTACATTTGCAATGGCACTCGCTCATTTGACGCACATCTCCATAGCAGCGCGCATCTTTGCCGGGGCGCTTAGCAGTTTGGCACAGCACCGTCCCTGCAACAGCGCAACAGCGACAACTCGACTCTACTCTTCTCTTTGGCACTTGAAAATAATTGCTGCAACTGCGCGTATCTCTTGTGTTCTGTCATTTAATTAAAACAAACAAGTGTTTCGCTTATTTCGCAAATTGTGTGCTGTCGACTTCTCCTTGTTTTTTGTTTTGGGTGCGTGCAACATTTATACTTCGATTTATACAAATGCAACTAATGAAACTATTATATTATAGCAAGTATGCAAATAGCATAATATTTCGACTCAAATGGTGATATTTTTAGAAACATACAAGTGTATATAATCCGGTTAAATTCCCCGACACCGTATACAAGCGAACCCAAGAATATCTCAAGGTGGCAATCAACTGGGCAAAAGAAGCTGCTTAACTGCTAATTCAAATAAAACTGATCTGGTTTTATTGACCAGAAGGTATAAAGTGACGGATGAACCATTTCCCTCGTTCGGTGCTCTCGACCTCACCCCGTCGAATGGCTGAACCATTGGGACCAAAATTCTTCAAAGGAAAGTGTCATGGAAGCCAATAATGGAAAATAGTGAGAAAGGCATCGGTTGCATAAACTTTTTGTAAAAGAGCTATTGGCAAGCGATGGACTCTCCCCAGAGTTGGGTTTTGCCTTTAGGAAACCACCAATATTTTGCATGGTGGATTTGACTAGCATTAGCGTTGAACCTAACGCAATTTTACATATACCTTCATAATTGCGAGGGATTGTTTATACCATAAATAACAGTGGCATCAAGCTTCTTGCGTGTTAGATTTTTCGGAGCGCCTAGTTACATATTATAGGCCTCAAGCAAGGTGAGCAAAGATTGATTGGGTTTCAAACCTCTTAATTTCCGGATAAGAATGTAAGATAGTAATTCTAATTTAACACTGTTCAACTGATGGAGCTGAAGGTCTTGGAGGACGCAACCTGTCAAATTTGCTAGTAGGAAGTCAAACAGACATCTCCAACTCAAAAGACAGAACAGATCCTGTCTTTTCCTCAAGCAGTGCGACCTCATGAACATTGCCTGCTTACCTAACCTAGCCTAATGTCTTTAAGGAGGTAGACTTAATTCGTCTAACGTAAGCCAATCAGCTTGAAAAACAAGATAATCTTCTTTTAATAACAACTCGCTTACCTATCTGGATCCAGTGGTAGGCGAATTCGCCTCTTATGAGGTCATAGACCTCCCAAGATATAATTTAGGATGAGAGTAAAGAGGGACGACCCTAGTGTAAGAGGTTAAACCTTCAGGAAGATATGTTTATAAATAAATATATATATTTATACATATATAAACAAGATATTATTCCAAAGCATTCCAAATGCTTATTAAAATGAGTAATAAAAATATCCCACTAGAGCTAATTCTCATAAAATCGAAAAGGAACCACCAATTATATTAAAAACTTTTTATTATTAAACTTTGCGCTCTTTGAAATGAAAGCGGAATTTTTCGAAGAAAGATAATCATTTGATCCTACATTTGGCATATAAATAATGTATGAGAACGCAGATATTTAATTAATTCGGAAATTACAAACAGTCCTTCCTTTCAAGTTGGGCAGAATTTATAAAGGAGCAGCCACGCGCACAAAATTTCTAACGGTCATAAACAATCAGCAAAAAGCAATCAAGCTCCAGCCGATGAATAAATTGCATTCTTCTATTTATTTATTCGATTTTTCAAAACCWTTTTTTTTTTTTTTGTTTTTTTTTTTTTGGTTAGTTACAACTAAACGTGAATTACACGCTGCTTACAACTGCACACAAACACTTCAAAGAGACATAAAAGTCTGTTATGGCAATTACAACTTAAGCTCGCACATAAAGCAGAAAGCAGACGTCGCAAGCAGTACTGAGTAGGTCAGGGCGGGCAACGGTTACACACAAGTCGGATTATGTGGCATCGTAAATCTTCTAAACATATGAACGAACGCAGGCGATCGGGCGAGGCCAAAGCGACAGCGAAAGCGAAAGCTCCTGCCACATTTGTGAACGAATGAATGCGGTTAAGTAATAGAAAGTGCAGAGGAGTGACAGGGCGGCGGAAGAGCGACAGAGGACACGACCGCCATTGATTCAGTTCAAATGGTTTAAATGGCAGTGAGAATGACAAAGGCAGTGGCATGCCAGCAAAGCTTTAAATTATGGCAAAACAATTTTCATAAACCACAAGCCGAGGTGAAAGGAAAAGTAAAAGTGAAAGAGGCGCAATGATGAAAGCCCAATAAATATACGACCCGCCCACACAAAGCAGGCAAGAGAAGAGCGCGGTGTGAGCAATCGGCAGAAAAAGTACCGCCAAAATTAATGGCTCACCGGTACAGAGGCAAACTTTATTTTTGTGGCACTTGTATCAATGACAGCGTTGCGCGAGTGGCATGTGGCATGTAACAAGGCGTAAAGGCATACAAAGCACCCACACACAAACACAAAGCACTTGCGAGCATGACAGCTTGTAGCGGCGCAACAAAGAGGCACATCGCGGCGCAGAGAGAAAACACAAGCCTTATCATCGTTTGATCAAATTAAAATAATTGCGCTTAAGCACCTGAAATTATGCTACAGTTTGTGTTGCTTTTGTTGCAGCTATTGTTTTCTTTATTCCCGCGCACATTTGAAGGGCACACACACACACACACCCACACAAACTTACAAAACGCTTTTCTGCTGGTGCTTATCACAATCTTCGCGCTTCCTGTGGGTTCTGCCGCTGCTCCGGCTGACGCTAACGCTGACAGTTGCGTAAATGAAAGCAAACAAGAAACGTGTAGCATATTTGGAGGCGCGTGTTAAACGTGAAGGCAGAAGCCACAATACAACAGCAACACCAACACCAACAATATTTATCTGCCACTTATCTTAAATGTCATGGTGTCTGCCTGCTTTTGATTTTGATTTCGAGAGTAAAGAACTTGCGCCTACATATGTATCTACACGACATACATAACATGTATAACGGAATGAATTATTTACTTTAAATTTTCAGCGTACTACTTATGCAAATACGGCCACAAAAATCACATTCGATCTTTGTTTTGCTTGTTTGAAGCCTGTTAAGGAGGAATCGGCTCGTGTAATATTTATACATAGAAAGTATCTGAGTCTGCAGTTTTTCAACACTTTCGGTTAGAGTAAATCCTTTCGAATGTTTTTGTTGATTAGAGAGCTGCATAATGTCCAGTCTTTGACGAAATCAAATTTAACAATCTTTCAATGACTGAAATAATATCGAAATTTATTCTTTCAAAACATCACAAAAACTGAAGAAAAAATGTTAATATTCTGAGTTTAAAAACAAAGCGAGGTCGGAATTCATGAACGTTTCAAAGTACATCTAGTTATCGTGCTCTATTTCTACACTTAAGCATATTGTAAAAGTTATAAAACATTCCTTTTTATCACAATTTACGTAACCTTATAAAAAATAAGAATATTTACATAACTTACATATTTACATTGTTGTGTCTTTTTTCTTTCGACGCAGAGTGCAAAATCTTGACTCGATTGTACGTGTCGCAGACCGCGATCTACCGGTAGTGAATACCAGAGGGGACGTCCTATTCAACTCGTGGAAGGGCATCTTCAACGGCCAAGGTGGCTTCTTCTCGCAAGCGCCGCGCATATACAGTTTTAGCGGCAAAAATGTTCTAACGGAGCCGTTGTGGTGAGTAGACAACAACAGCGGCACAATACAAACACATCCAACAAGCCTATTTATTTATTTTTTCCATACTTTTTCATTACCTTCTTTTATATTTCAACTCACGTTGAATTGAGGTTGAGATTATTCGTTTGTCCCACCCGAGCTGCCAACAGCGGCGTCTGCGGCTTTGTGCTTGTTGGACGAAAAATTCACATAATTACATTATGTAAAGGCAAGGCGTGCTCGGCGTGACTTCGTGTTCGGCGTCTACTTATTGTGTGCAAGTCAGGTCAGCGACATTAATGGTGGCGGCCGCATGTGCTCAGGTGGCAGATTGCCAGCTTAGCCATATGCTGTCGCTGGATTTAGTGGCATCATTCGACGTGCCTCGGCATAAATAAGCCGAGAATGAGAATGTCAGGATTTTCCATTAAAATTGGGTCTAGCATAGAATTATGCTTGCATTTACTAAAGATATGTATATGTAATATATATGTATACATATGTGGTATATAAGATATATTTGCACATTTCGGGAAAAATGATAATGAGACGTTTAACGGTATTGCTGGTGAAATGTACAGCTAATCAATTTTGAACGTTATTAAAGATAAATATAAATCCTGGTAGGAGAATTTTTGTTATCTTATTAAAAATATTCGCGAGCTTTTAATAGCTTGAAGATAAAAGTTTTAATTAATGACCGCATAAATTTAGTTCATATTTAGTGTGAATGAAAAAAACGCTCTGCAAACATTTTACCCATGGGTTTGCATATTCTAACAGTATTGGTGTTCTATAATACAAGCATTAAATGGAGCGTTTGCACTCTCCACAAGATTTGGGTAACGTAGAAATAGTTGGCACGTGATTGTCGGAATCCAATAAACTGGCTCAAGAATTTGCATAGTAGAAATTTTACATTTTTTCAACTCAACAAAGCTTGAAAATTTCGTAAACATATTTTTTGAAGTCAGCTTCGTGATATTGAACACAAATTCATTAATTCGAAAACGAAAATTAATTATTCGTTGAGTTGTGGGGAACCAGTATGACTAAATATTTTGAAAATTTTTCAATATCAAGTTTATTTCACTACTGAGTTCTGAAAATTTAGTCACAATAACATTCCCAAAAATAAATGATGAGGATAGAATGTATGCTGCTTTATTCCACTGTGACTAAGATTAAGAGTGACGAGACTAGTTGTGCGTAACGGTTTGTTCTTTTGATAGATTGACGAAATTGATTAACTTCTAAGTGACTTCAAGGTCCCCATTCTCATAGAAACTAGGAAGTAGCATAAAAATTCACAAAAATCACATATTCGACTCATAGATATAAATAAACTCAGATTCTCGAAAACTTTATATTGGATAGTCGAAAAAGTCTTTTCGTATTCGTAATCAAACTTCAACTTATTAAAAAACAATAATATTCCGCTAGAGAGATTATTCCATCAGAGTACAACTTTGTAAATCAAAATTTCGAACTTTCCCAAACGGAAGCGAGGGAACTATTGTAGGGCTAAACTAACTGATAAATTTCATTAGCGGCTTCCTAAGCATTCTTCCCTTTTTAATGCAAAAATTTCAAAATATAGCGAATTTCTTCATCATTTTCACTCATTTTTGAGTAGCTGTGAGCTTTTATCAACTCTTCCGAATTTATCTTTATTTTTTTGGTTAAGTAAAGCTCAAAATCTTACCTTTCCAACATCATATGGTATGACACATTGTGATTGGTAGCACTGGGGATATACAACTGCAACAACATTATTGAAAAAAAAACATAAAGACTTTTCAGATTATCCAATATTTCCCGAACTACTTCATGGAGCTTGACGTTCGCTGATCAACCGTTAGCTCTAGCAAATTAATTTAAAAATGAATATTAAACTTACATTTAAAATATGCGAGCGAATATCTTCTTGCTTTGTTTCTGATAGCAAAACCGATAAAATTGGTTACCATGACACCCAAATTCTGTTTCGAATATCAAACTAAAAATAAATATTAAATATCTGAACTGATGACATCAACTCTTTATTCTGATCGGTTTCAATTCTGATTCCGACAACTGTCAGATTCCACAACACCCCTGAATAAAAAAGTTATAACATATGTTCTCAAATATATTACGTATATTCACATAAAAAACTCAAATGACCAAGATTTAAATGTCGAAATAGCAGTTAGTATTCAAAGAGTTCAGACTTGAGAGAAATTGCAATTACGAACTGTATATATGCATCTGGATAGGTACGTATGCATGTATGTTTATATATAAAATGAAATATTGGATCACAATATAATAAAGACTAGAAGAACTTATGTGAAAAAACAAATTCTTTATTTAATTGCTACACATATTCAAAAATTAAAAAGCAAGTTCATATTATAATATATTACAGCAACAAAGAGCACTCAAGTGCATTCACACACACACACACAGAAATAGTAAAAGAAATGTGTTTTAGATTTTTCTACACTTGACACAGTTATTTCGAACTCGGGCCAAAGAAAAAGTAATAACAAAATCACGAAAGGAAATAAATAACAAATGCTACCAATAACAACAAGTCAAATACGCAATTACAGCAACAGCAATATGCAACAAATTGAAGTTAAGTGATTACAAAATGTAATTGTTTTGTACCTACAGCAGCAACCATCAAACCACAAAGTGACAAATTGTATTTACAGAGTATGCCGTTACCACACGCCACCGCACGTGTGTGCGAGAGTGAGCGAACACACACCCAAGTGCAAATTGTTATATTTAATGCAGGCGACAGAGTTAAGCTTATAAAATTTTGTGGTATTAGATATTGTTGTTGGATAGAGCCTGGCAACATTTAATCCCTGAGCAGCAGGCGCCTTCGCTCATTGATAAGCAAGCAAATACGGCTACAGTTGAATGTGTGTGTGTGTGTGTAGGAGTTTGTTGAGGCACGTTTAATGGATGCATATAATTGAAATACGAATTTAAAATGCTTCTAAGACTTCTCTGTGGAAGCTTTATGCCGGCTGAACTGAGTTCGTGCTAAATAACATATATTTTATGCGTTTGTGTGTGTACGTGAACATATGTGGCATATTGCATATAAATATGTACATAAGTGGATTTATTGTTGTCGATGCTCAAATAAATACTCGACTTCCCAACACAAACATGTCGAGGCAAGTGCAGTTATTGTAACGGCAAGTGATGGAATTTCATAAATGCCGTGTCCAGGAATTGCATGCTGGCTACAAATTGAAATTTACCACACTCCAAATAAATGATATTTGTGCCCACACGCACACTTGCTCCTTTGTGAGACATACGCACATGTATGTATGTGTGGCATTATTATTAATTTACGAGCAGCATTTATTAGTATGTGGATGAGTGTGCACTTGCGACATCGTCAGCTTGCGGAAATTTGTGTAAATTTTACAATATTAGTAACTTGCACGCAATTGCAGCAGCATCCATCATTTGAAGTTGCAAGTAATTTATCGTTGCATATGAGAACTATTTTAATCATTTAGCAAAGCCGATCACTTAATAATTTTCCTATGATCTCGAAGGTACTTACTTAAACAGTTTTTTCTAAACGTTAAAAAAATCAAGCGAGAAATTAAGAGAAATATTCAACCACCATCGGGCCACGGTTTGGTTGGTTGGTGATTGGCTGAAAAGGCAGGCGAATGAGCGCCAGACTGCAGACGGCTGCACTTAGGCCTTCATTATCCCCCTTGCGCTCCCCGATATCAACACCATTAAGCCTTATCCAGCAAATCAGTGCATTTGCCAAAATTTTTATGCACGGCTGCAGTTAAGTTGGTCCAGCGTCTCATCATTCTCCGCGTATGTATTCCGGCAAATCCACTTTGCCATTTTTTTAAGATTGGATCTTAAAGATATGTGTTCTCTGAGAGCCTCTAGACGATTACTAAGATTCATTTTTCCTAAAAGTAGAAACCTTTTGGTCGGTCCACCATCAATAGTATCCAAAAGTAACTTGGTGTCATGCCCTGCGTTGCTATTGTTTAAAACCAGAGGTATTTCTTTATAGTCCATTGCTGCAACAATCCTTGCAGGAACTGAATGGTCTACAAAATTGTGTTTCCAACTGCCCCTTGAGCCAGGTTATCTGCTTTATCAATTTCTTCTATGCCTATATACTGCTTACCTATTGAGAGTATAGTTCTTGCTAATTGGCATAACCAAACGCTATGAACTTAGTATACGCTCTACGGATAATCTTAATTGGCTACTCTTAACTGGCAGGTATCCCACTTGTATTCTTCAATAATGCCCACAATATTCTGAAAGACTGACTTATACTCATTTAGTTTGAAGCTACCTTTTGAGATTGTGGATTACTACAAAAGAATACCGTTCCTATTCCTATTTCACCCTTTTATCAGTCGGTGAATATGTGGATTTCGTCGTTGGATCCGTCGATCGAATAGCCATTGGCTCCTTTTTCTCTACTGCCGGAGTAAAAGCGTTCGGTTTTATTCCTCATGGATTTCCTTTTTTCGGTCGAATGGCATTATTAATTCTTAAATTTTACAGGCTTCATCATTTTTTTGTTTGTAGGTAAATTTGATATAATATTAGCATTTTATAACCGATTGAGTTCAGTAGTCATTTTTCCAATTTCCAAAAGAGGTTGATACATACTGAAAAACCAGATTTCCAGGCTTAACCGCCTCACTTTCAATTCATCAGTTTTTGAGACATCGATCGGAAATTCTCCACACGTTTTTTTTTCTATCTAGCCGCTGATATGGGACCGCTATATGAGGTAACTGCCATAAAGCTAATTGATCAAGATCAGATTCAGTAATGAAGGATGTTTATTTGACAGTACATTTTAACAAAATTTCGCATAGATTTTCGTACAAGGCAGCGCAATAATCTGCGAACATACTGTCCAGATCAGACCGCTATAGCATTGTATTAGGAGTAATACACCTGAGAAGAGTATGATTGCAGCCGAAGTTTTTGATTTCTTTGTTTTGTTC